TGATACTGTAGTGAATAATGCTTATCAGGACGGATTATGAGGGTTAGAAATGCAAAGGTAGACGTTTTGTAACAAGGAAGGGAGTGATTGATTCTCCAGGATAAGAGCGGAGGCCTCTGGGACCATCAATGGAGAAGAGCCGAGAGCGGGACCCTACCTAGAGAAACAGAGATGCCTGAGATGGAGACAGAGACGATGACATGGAGTGATGAAGCGGCTGGGGACTTTGGATCCAGAGAGGGAGAGGGACTGTGGGCCAAAAACTTGGGGGGAGGGGGGAAGGGTAGGGGCGGGCTTCTAGGATATACCCTTTGGTTGGTTGAGGATGCATGGAGGGGATTGGAACCATGGCAATGAGATGATATACGACAGAATGAATGTAAAACTAAAGTTCTCTCATGTAAACTACCATATAACTCACAATAAAACATTAAAAAAAAATTACAATAATAGAAACCAGAATATGTAAACTGAAGGAAAAAAAAAACCCAAACAAACCCTCTAAAGTAGCCAATTTTCTGGGGCATGGGAAGTCCGAGGAAGAGTCAGCATGATGTTAAGAATAATTTTGTTCTGTAGTTGTGTAGTTGTTTGTGTTTGATTTTGTTTTCGTGTTTTGAGGCTTGGAGTATAGATAAACTGTATTTTGTGTAGATAAGATATGGCTGTGCTTTTGCAGTATCTGCAAGTCCTGGTATGGCTCTGTAGGATAACCACTAGCCTGCAAAGTCGATTTGAACCACAAGGTGGCAGTTCAAGCCCACCAGTCGCTCTTTGGAAACTACAGAGTTGGAACAGATTCAATAGCACATAACAACAACAACATGCAGTATCTATACACACAGGTATACACACAAGCATTCAGTTACTATATGCGATACATCTTCATATTTTCTGTTCTATCATTTTAAAACTTTATTTTATTTTGTGGAAGTATACCCAGCAAATTCTACATGGACAATTCAGTGATACTGTTTAAATTTTTCAAGTTGTGTAACTATTCTCACTATCAATTTCCAAATTGTTCTACCACCATTAACATAAGTCACCACTTGTTTGTCTGCTGCACTGTGGTGGCTTGCATGTTGCCTTGATTCTGGAGCTATGCCAGCAGGGTCACCCATCATGGACAGATTTCAGCTGAGCTTCCAAACTAAGACAGACTAGAAAGAAGGAGAGGCAGAATACTTCTAAATGACTAGCCACTGAAAACCTTATGAACAGCAAGCAGTGAAACACTGTCAGCACCAGAATATTGAATATTCAAACATGAGGAAGAGTACCAGGATATTGTCAGATTTAGTGATGGAAGATGAACCTCTCAGGTTGGAAGGCACGCAAAGTATGACTGGGGAAGAGCTGCCTTCTCAAAGTAGAGTTAATCCTGATGACCTGAAAGGAGTAAAGCTTTCAG